CCACTTGACTTTTGAAGGTAATTGTAACTGGTGACGACAACAAAACGATCATTATTTGAGGTAAGCCCTAAAATGTCTTCTTCAAATGAACGTGATCTTGATGATTTGGAACTATGTGACAGTGGTAGTGATTTCGAAGAATTTGGTGACAAAATAATTGAAGAGACTTTTGTGGTTGTAAAATTTAATACAAAGAGACGAAGCGTCCTCCAACATAGCTCGGGTAGATGTTGTAGATGGTAATGGATATGAAGGTGCAACGATAATTCAGCCGTTTACAAAGAGAAGCAACATTTGTCTTGAATAAAAATGATGATGCTTCATTTTCCAAAAATGACGTAGTCATAAAACTTCCAGCACCCAAACAACTAGGTGGTACTGTACGACGGGATGGCACGAGCTAAAAACGAGATTGTTCGTACAATCTTTGGATAATCTATAAGGTTACAGTCCGATACATGCCAATGTAAAAAGGAACCGAGGTCGTTGGAATATAAACCAATATTGCACTTCGTGAAAATCAGATAAAAATTGTGACCTGTATAAATTGTGGACGAACGGACAGGGGCGAGGTCAAAATATCCGGTTAAACAAACACTGCCAGTGGGTAAAACTGGACCCTTTGAGATATTTACACTGAATCAATAGATACATTTAAACAAAAACAAACAGATGTCGCAAGAACTGACCGCAGTTAAACCCGGAGCCTGTTATCTTTGAGATGCTTATATTTAAGTTAGGTAAGTCTTGAACTCAATATCGTCTAAAGTGTTCGACAATGAAATCACAAATTATTTGTCAGTTAAAATCAACACTGATGTTGTGATCTTACGGGTAGAAGATGGGCTTCTGATATCCAATATTTAAGACAAAATAAACCTTTTACCAGTGATACACGTATCTATGCCCTACTGCCAAATTCTGGCTGATGCATTATGATTTAAAACGCACGCGCTAGAGAAGGCGAGTACCTGTTCACACCACCACCTTAATAATTACATATTTGACAAGCAATATCGTCAGCTGGTTCAAGACACCCTGCTCCTTGGGAAGTTAGATTGAAAAATCGATATTCAAAGTTTATTAGCAATATTCATGGCGAACTTAAAAAAAAAAAAACATTTAGTCGATTTCATTTTATGACTTTATTTTTTGTCTTGAACAGGTTATGTATAATAAGTTTAACTGGGGACATTTATATATTATGCATGGTTTTTTTTAGGGATGCACACTTGCGTTGGGTTCCATTTAGAAAACAAAATGACTGAATAGTGAATGATTCTACCACAGATAATTTGGGCTTATCATTTCAAATAACTCAATTTAGATGCGTGATCGATATACATGTGAGTGGCGACAGAGTTGTGTCATTTTGATACTTATGTACGACTACGTATTTGTAGTCGTGTGTTTTGAACTGTAGGGAAGGGGTCTGTCAAATCTAGCTTTGTCATGGGGGTGTGTTGGAAATAATTAGATGCTTTGGCGGACGTCTTCAGCACGTTCTTCAAAATCCAGACATGGTTGACTCTCCAGTTCGCAAACATTATGGACCAATGTTTATCGTGGAATCCAAACTTTAACTCTACCTTGCACAACGTTCTGGCAGTTAGCGTCATAGTAACCCATGGGGCACGTGGTAGTATCATCTGCATTCCGTCCAAACGTCTACAAATAATATATTTCGGTGCACATGTATTAGCTGCCGTGAAACCTGTAGGGACAATTGAGGGAAAATGCACATGCTGTTGGGAACTTAAAAGAACCCCTGACAGTTAAAACTCGAATTGCCACCAACGCACACGGGATGGCATTTGCTCGTTTTGATTAGCCCTGTTGATGTAGGACGTTAAAACCAATTTAATTTATTTACTACAAGAATTTGCTTATCTGTGGGTTATCCGATTTTTTCTCAAATGTTAAACATACATTATGCAAGAGCTAAACCTGCTTATTGCAAGTTTTTATGTAGTCCTGGATTGGTATATATTAATTAGACATTTATTAACATGACAAATCCATACTCAACTATCGATGCCATCATATATCTTCGATATTAAGTAGATTAGAACGGTTCAGCCATATTTTGATTTTTAATTTCAAAATGGTGAAGCAAGGCCTAGCTTCGAACAACCAGTACAAACACCTTGTCAAACCTTTAAAGGCAAATATGTTCGCTCACATTAGAGTAATTTGAATAAAATATAGTCAATATATTATTTTTTGCATTATCTTTTTTTGAACTGTTATAGCAAGAATGGCTAGCTCTTTATCCTACATAATGTATCTTTAAAAGATCTCTTCACACACGCACAATATTATATTTATTTCTGGATAAAAATTATAAGATCATATGCGTACAGTAGAGATCACATTCGGAATCGTTTGGACTAAGTAATTATTACAGCCACGGTGGCCTTTTGGGTCCATGCTATAAGCTGCACTTCTCGATCATCTTCATTGGTGCAGAAACGTAGATTGTTTGATAAACTGCGCCGTAGTTTGTATATGTTTACAAAAACTACAGTTTCTAATTTTTTAAATAACATATTTATTGTCACCAGGAGCGTTCATAAAACGACACACGATGATACTTAATGCGATTTGAGTTGGACTATTAGTGTAGATTTGGGTAAATTGTGCTGATGTTGATAGTAAGTGAACATGCGTCGGAATTGAAATTGCGAGACAAGAATGCGATAAGTCGTTTCCTTGGGGCGAGAAGTCGAGATTTTAACATGGCAGCAATAGGCTTCCATAAATGGGTGATTGACTGACATGGAAGTTCGGAACCAGTAATTAAAATTACTTCCAATGGGTGTGTTTCTACTTTTATTTAAAATGAAAGCATTAATACACGAAGAAAAACAAACTGTATGGAAATATTATCTTTTACAGTACAGCGCAATTTCAATATTATCTATGTAGTTGTTTTCAAGATGAACATGCACGGTGGTGTTTACTATTAAAGGGACAATACCACTCTTGCTGGCTTGAAAGCTCCAGAAAATAAATAATATCTCTATCTAAGTACTAGATGTTTTAGTGTCCTACCTGTTGTGTAAATTATCCATTACATCCTATTTTACTTGTCCAGAGGGTTCGAAAATATTTGTAAATCGAAGTTTCATTTGAAAAGTTTACGTTAGACGTTTCAAACCATTATGTTAGATTTTTCAAAATTGTTAAATAAGGTGTGTTAAGATGAAATTTGTATCGTCAATTACTTGGAATATTGTAAAATAGTACAATTTGTTGACCAGAATAAAGATTGGGACATATTATTCAGTTACAACAAGAGTGGTATTGAGCCTTTAAGTAGAAAAAAGATTTGTGTTAAATTCCTATAGTGATCAGTAGTGTTTATAAAATAATTAAAACCATAGAAAAAAAAAATTGTTTTAAATTCATAACCTGATTAGTAGTTTTTATAAAATTAATAAAACGATAGTAAAAAAGTATATTGTATTTAAAATGTAACTCGAGTTCGGCTCCGTCTGTAACAATATAAATGGCCAATTATGTAAACAGACACTTATCGATTAGTTTTGAAAAAAAGTGAAATGTGCAAATGTTATTTGAAGAATTCGCTAACCATTGGTCCCCTTCGTCTGACATCATTGTGATTAGCGATTACAACATGACCTAAGTTTTATGATAAATTTACCAAAATAGATATTAGTTTAGAAAAAAGTAAAATGTACAAATGCTATTTGAAGAATTCGCTAACCGTTGGTCCCCTTTTTCTGACATCAATGTGATTAGAGATTACAACATGACATAAGTTTTATGATAAATTTACCAAACGTAGTGTGAAATAAACCCAGTGATTATTTTCATAGGCGTACGAGGCACCGCCCCCCCCCCCCCCCAAATATTTTCATGAAAAAAAATAGAAATCTGAAAAGAGCTCAGAATTGTGAGATCGGTCATTAGCCGAGGAGTTTTTGAAAATGGGGTGGGGGTAGGGGTATGGTCTTGTCGGGAATGAATGCTCAGTTTGTCGGGAAGCGTTTCGCCGTCTGTCGGATTTTGAATATGTTTAATAATATGGAAGCGGAAAGAAAGCAGTCCAGTCAATGATGAACACGTACGCAATCTGAATAAAACTAGCACGTACACATGGCCTTCTCAGTTCTTGAGTACTGTGTTCCTGTATACTACCATGCAACTCCATGCACCGGACGAGCCCAGTGAATAGTGAGATCTGGATAAAAAATGTGAAGTCTCATAAAATGAAAAATGTGGCAAAAGTAAATCGTTCGACTTATTCTTGTTTTCGTAGTAATAGAGCTTGTATTTTAAAGATGACTTTTTACCAGTTTTTATGCTGCAACTGACATAATTTACTACCCACTCCAAATTACTAGAAAGTATTCGAAATGCCTGGAAATCGCGTCTACGGCCGTCTGGTTTTCAAAATTTTCTGGGGCAGGCCCCCCATAACCCCCGTCGGACGCTTCGCGCCTCTGGCGCGAGTGGGCGGACAGCTTGGTCGTCCGCGGCTCGGCGGACTGTAAAGAAATATATTTGTCGGGAAAATATACTGGCCCCGTACGCCTATGATTATTTTCCATATAAATTTGTGTTTTATAGGTATTTCCTGCAACTTAAATTACAGAATTTTCAAGCTGCTATGAAAGTTAATCAACTATATGCATTTTCTTTTAATATAAGAAGAACTCCAGCCGTTGCATATTTTATTTTCATTTTAATAAGTGGCAACCACCCCAAAAACCAACAGTGCCGTTTGCTTTTATTCGCTTGCGACGGGTTGCTTTGACAGTTTTAAAATTGTGACTTAAATTTAAATACCTTAGACGTATCGATATTATACAACTATATTTAAATTAACACGGTATAATCAATTTAATAATATTTATCTAGTAGTTTTAAATTACAAATCTGTCAATTAAAATAAGTAAATATTAAGAATCTGTCAGTGAATAAAAAAAACTATGGCCACGTGGACAGCAGATGTGAACAACACAAAATATATAAATATCATGCTAGTTTGTTTTGATATTATTATTATACTGGCTGCTGTAAAATACGGGGTAAGTTTGATTCCATGGTCGTTTACGTATTAACAAGGGCTCTGTTTCTCGAAATGTTAGGGAGATTTTTATAAGGAGTTAGCCATTCTTGCTATAACAGTTCAAAAATAGATGATAAAAGAAGAATATATTGAAAATTTCAGTCAGATTACTTTATTCTGAACATATTTATCACCAGTGTAATTTTTTGACTAGAAATGGGATTGAATTCCATTTTCACCGATTCTTAGTATGGCCGATCGTTTTGTTGACAGGCGTTAACTCCACCTACATAATCTCTGCCGTCTTTTGTCTGCTGTCATCATATCCGAATTTGTGTTTTACCTTTTTGGATTTTTATAATAATGGGACAAAATGAGTGAGAGGGTAAATTTTCATTCTTACTAATTTTACTTGTATTTTGGACATAATATTATAATACAATTATAATAAATCTATAGGTATACACCAGTGGCGTCGTGCCTATTGGGGAAATAAAAATATTTTTATTGATGTTATTAAGACAGAAGACCTGTCCGTCTGTAATTAGTCATCACACGGTCTGCGGGAATTGTATAATTTGTCATTATCTGTGTTTAGTTTATTGATGTTATTCAGACAGAAGACCTGTCCGTCTGTATTAGTCATCACACGGTCTCCGGGAATTGTATAATTTGTCATTATCTGTGTTTAGTTTATTGCACTTTAAATTGTTAAGATGCCATTTGTTAAGGCATCGCTCAACAGCGGCCTCGCTTCGTACACTCTATCATTTAGCCTCGATCCGGGAGTATGACGTCAACTTAACGGTTAATCTCCGCTCACGACGCCATTTAAAATTAAATGAGTCACCGAAATCCCGTTTAAATCCAAGCTGCATCCAAGCCATCCGTGGGTCTACAGAGTTGATTTTGTGCTTGTTGTGTAAATAAAGAGCTAATTTATAATTTCTATGACATCTGAAGCCTAAATAAAGACTTGCATAATGTATGTTTAACTAAAGATAAAATCCAAATTTTAGTAGATACTTCAATTTTGATTGACTAAACACTAAAAACAATCTAATATTATCCAATCAAATTACTAAAATTTGGATTTTATCTTAGTTAAAATTTCGTGAAACAAGGTCCTGGGTTATACTAGAGCTATACAACGCTTCGGAAATAGTCTTGCCTTTTGCGTGGACGAGCAACCGTAGCGCCACACTAGGCGCAAAATGGGCTCTATAACACACTGCATGGCAAATAACCTTCTACATTTTACAGGTTGGAAATTAAATGGGGTTTAACGTCCTATTGTTCTGCTCCGACCGGGATAATGCCTACGTACATAACCATAGTGCTATGAGGCAATTTGCTCGGACAGCGGCACTACAGCCTACTCTTATATCGCACGCCAATATGTACACGCGCTACCCCGGATTTTCGTCCGAGCTGAACGACTATACCTTGTCCCTTGGCAGGCCCTCTGTCCAGCACCACTGACAAGGGTTAACCACTCCGGACCAATGCAGGGATCGAACACGCGAGCTCCAGGCCTAACCCGCTGACTCCCAGAGGTCCCCCATTTTACAGGTGGGTACAGGAAGTTAAACTCAATTCACCTTTTTAGTGGAATGTCTCCTTTGCCAGTTTGTCTTCATTTCTGGTGAAGTCTGTGAATCACGAGAATCCGGGACGCTCAAGGCCGTTCTCCGACTTCCATTTTAGTGATCTGATACAATTGGTTGTAATGTCCTTGTGTCTTGTCCGCGGGTTTGTCTTCTGTGATGTTGTAATGTCCAGGTGTTCTGTCTAGTCCGCGGGTTTTGTCTGTGTGTGATGCGGTCCTCGTGTTCTGTTGTATTTGTGGCTGGCGACACGAGCTTTAATCAGACACCCCAGTTTTGTAGTTGTCAGCATATACATAAAACAGACTGGTGTTTTAAAGGGGCTGCACAATATGATCATTATGAGTGACAGGCTATTTGTCGTAGAACGAGTAACGATCAGCTGTTCATTTGTGGATGGTTACAGTTTCTTTAATTATCTCAAACGTAACTAATGCTAGGTTCCGACTATCGCGCCACGATTGAAATCGTGGTTTTAATAGTGGACTAATTGTGGTGATCCTATCGGGTCGTATCATATTTTGTTGTCAGTCGTAGCAACCGTGCTGGTCGCATCCGAACTTTTTCGCACGTACATATCGTGGGACTTAATAGTAGGGACCTAGCAAAAGGGTAAGATTGACTATACGGTACATTGGTTATTGCTATCGTCATATAGACTTTTATCACCCAATAATACATTCTATAGTAGATATCGCTTGTGTGATCGATTTCGTAATCTACTGCGATATCTTCTTTAGATATCAAAAAAGACTCTTGGGATATTTTCTATATATCCAGACGCAAATATAATTAGTAATATGAACACCAGTCATCATCCACAGAAAGTCATGACCTTTACATGTCGAAAAATAATCATATCACAGTTGCGTGGGACTAGCATAAGCATTCTATGGGGTCATTCAAACGGAAGATAACCATTAGTATAAAATAAGATATATCCAAAACGGATCCTTTATTTCTAATTATTATATGAATTAGATGAAAGTTGTTTAAATTTTTCAGAAGATGAAGTGTGTTAGTATATTCCTTGTAGTCGCGTGTTTAGCGGTGCTAGTTTATGAATTCGAAGCATCTTGTGGCTTTATGGCAAAGAATCCCCCGGGTAAGTAGAAAAGTATCTTGTAGGGAGCGAGGTTGGTTGTCTTGTTAGGTCAATGTACCCTCCAACGAGAATACACCAGGTTCGAATCGTATACTATGCTTAGAAGAATATTCGGGATTTATTAATTTGGTCGATTTGAAACGATTCCCCAAATTTTAAAATAGCTAATATTGGTTTAGTCTGTGTACGTATTTCAGTCAATATAGTGTTAATCGTTTTGGCATCCTTTGTTAGCGTTAGTCACGCACCAAACGCCTGATGCTAGTCCATCCTCGACTGAAGACTATCCAATCAGCGTGGGACTGACTTTTGGGGCTGGACAACTGACCAGTGTCCGATGGGTTAAATTTTTTGACATGATCGGTAGTGGGCGGTTAGGATCAGAGCGCCGACAACTGTGTATAAGGTCCACCGCGAGTGTCAATAACAGCAGCGCAGCGTCTGTACATGGAGTAGACCAGACGATTGGTTAACACCATTGGCACTTGGAACCTCACTCTCAGAAAAGCCTGGCGCAATCCATCGACTCGATACGACGTTATTAAGTCTCCTCTGAATTTCATCCCAAAGATGTTCAATCGGGTTTAAGTTCGGGCTAAGGGCGGGTCATTGCATAACATTGACAGCGTTCTGCTGTAGAAAGTCTTGCGAAACTCTGGCGGTGTGGGCACGGGCGTTGTCATGCTGGAAAACGTTGTTTCGGTGACATGCGAAATTTGGTATGACGTGGGGTCTGAGAGCTGGTGTTGTTGGGCAAACTGCAGACGTTCACGTCGATGGCGAGGAGTGAGAATCGGTCCACGGCAATGGGTGTTCTCTCTGGTGAGGGAATTGAATCGGTACTGATCGGTCTTCCTTGTGTTCCCACTGTTTGACGTGCTGTCTCAGATGCCTGTGTGAAGGGATTCTGTACGTGCTGTCGCACAACATGACGGTCTTGTCTACCAGTTCGGGGCGATCATCCTTGGTGTTGGTGGCCTGAAAGCCCTTGCTTGGGCAGTGTGACCAGCGTCGAGTCTTCCAAGCGCCTGGTTCCTCCGAGATTTGAGTCGTGGAATGTTGCTGACGTTGTAGTGTCAATGATTCAACGAGGTATGGGGGTGCATTCTATAGGGCTTGTCCCAGTGAACAGCACGTGCAGCATGAGTTACATGAAAATCATGGAGAACACATTACCATCTCTGAAGTCAGGTTACGTTTTTGAGAACATTTCCTGAGTTCAATTCTGTGTTTGGGAAGGAGTTTTATTGCTCAGGTAAAGTTGGAGATGTGGTCACAAATATACAATAAAAACATTTGGCAAGATTTATGTAATGCTTCTATTCAGAGTAATATACCAACCTAACGTTTCTTTTGCTGCTTAGTATATTATGGAGTTAAATAAGTGGTTGTCACAAAGATCCAATGCTGTTACACGTGATCGAAAACGTGTTCGAACACGTGTAACACAGACCCAGAATGGAGTGACCAACCCGAACAGACAGAAGTATTGATCAATTTATCTATTTTCATTATTCCCTTCGTGCATACATATATGTTTCTTTATAGGTATCCTATACTATATTTAAATTGGTTCGTTCGAGTTATTTATATTATAGGAAAATTGATTCATATGAGTTATTTATATCACAGGCCAATTGTTTAATTGAATGTATCTATATTTTAGGTGACGAGGAACCATGCATAACACCTGCGGGTAATCTAAGTGTTGGAGAATCTGTGAAAAACTACACTGAATGTCAAAGATATACTTGTGGAGCGTCTTATATTTCTTATTGTGGGTAAGATTACTTTTTGAAATCGAACACCATTTGTTTATTTGTTGATTAAAGATACATTAATTAGTTAAGAGTTCAATAACGAGTTAGCCATTCTTGCTATAATAATTCAAAAATAGATGATAAATATATGTAAAACTGTCAGCGACATGCAATTTTAAAATCGGTCAAGAAAGGCCTCGATTTTTTGTTAATGTTCCTGTACTGAGTAATCCGTCATGCTGTGTCGGAAGTAAAAACAGTCTACTTTACTCAAAACAGAAATAGCGAGTACTATTTTGATGATACCAAATCCCCTCCCCCCTTGCCAATTTGTATTCAAACATGTTGACTTTTATTTCAGAATTGGTTATAATGCTGGTACGATGTCTGTTCACGGATGTGTCCAACAAAATTTGGACGATTGTTGTTACCAGTTTGTAAATGCTTCAAACTCATCGGAAATCTGCATGGAGAAATTATGTCCATAGTAACTTTGCCAATAAAATAAGTATAATCTTATAATAATATCGCTCCTTGGCCTAAGCAGACAATTCTCATCAAACTTAGTCAAGGTATTGATATAATGAATCTATAATCGGGGGTTCCGTAAGCAGACAATGTTCATCATCGACATTCACCTAATAAATGAATGCCTACACCAAGTCTGAACATTCTTCCTCAATTACACTCAGAAGAACATGTTCATTATCGAACCTATAGCTCAAGGTTCATGATTCTCACTTAATTAGTACTAAAGTTATCGTGTCCCAAAGCATCAACCAATCAAATTGATTATCTATGGTTACCCTTGGCAGAAATTTATCATCTTCGAACTCCATCAAGGCATTCACCTAATAAACACCTACACTAAGTGTAAACAATGTTGCCAAATTAGAAGGTGAGTCACTGTGTTCCAAAGTCTCGACAAATCAAAGTGCTCATCGCTCTGGTTACCCTAAGCAGAAAATGTCCATTATCGAACTTAATAAACACCCACACCAAGTTTGAACATTCTAGCTCAATTAGAAGGAGAGTTATTATGTTCCAAAAAGTGTGACGGACAGACAGACGGACGAACCCATTTTAATAGTCCCCCTGTTTTCTTTGAAAGGTGTGGGACAAAAATCTGTGGCGCGATCCTGAATGAATACTAGGCAGGGCCATTTGGATTCGAAAGGCTAATACAGCGTTCCGTTGCTATTCTCGATTGTCAATGTATTACGAGTCTTAAAGATTTATTTGAGTAGCTAACACAAGGTTATATTTCTTCTGTAAAGTAATGATATGTAATTCAACACTTTACATACATGCATGATAATTACATTATATGATTATATCATTTATGTACTTTCTATTTGTGTTTTCTCTCTTTATGGACTTTTAACGACTAGGGGGATCACGTGGCTAAGTGGGTAAGACGCTGGCTCGCTAGCCTGGAGGTCGGGTGTTCGATCCCTGCATTGGCCGAGAAAGTTCCTCCAGATTTCCAGCGTGGTGTCCCCTTGTCAGTGAGGCAGGACGGAGGGCCTGCCAAGGACAGCTGTCTAGTCGTTCGGATGGGACGAAAAACCGAGGCCCCGTGTACATATTGGCGTGCACGTAAAAGATCCCTTGGCAGTTGGAATTCGATATAAGAGTAGGCCGTAGTGCCGTTGCCCTGGCAAAATCTCCTGATAGCATACTGTATGGCGTATGCCCGTCTTCATTAGCCCAGTTTAGGAGGAGAATAGTTGGACGTTAAACCCCATTTCATTTCATTTCTTTAGGAACGTGTAGCTTTATTATTGCTGTGATCTTCATCCACAAGTTATCCACAGTTTATCTCCCTTCATCATTACAACATTTGGTACGATTTCTAATAAAACTCCCTCGTGTCAAAATTATAAACAAACTTAACTCAACAGTAAAGGTGGACTTCCCTACACGAATTCAGCGAGAACAACACACAAGGAAACTTATAATGTGGGCACAAAGTATGTATATATGCCAGTGACTATAACTGCATTATTATGCCCAGTAGATTTCATATCCATAATTAGTGTATTTCTCTAAATTTGTAAACCGTGTACTGATTGTAGTGTAGAACTAATTTGAACAAAATTAAACTATATTCTGTCTTGAAATCCCTCTGTTCTCTCACGAAGCCATTTTTTAAGCCATTGGCTACTTTCGGAAATAAATAAAATGAAATGAGTTTAACGTCCTATGGTTCTGCTCCGACGGGGCTAATGGAAACGGAGATTAGTTTCGACATCATGTGATTAACATATTGTTTAAATAATAAAAAAAAATATATCCATTGTTTAAACCAAGACGTATTTATAGACAGTGCAACATGTTGATGAACATACAGGCTTATGGAATAGAGTTAAGTTAAAATAAATGACCATTGATCAAACAGGAATATTAGAATGCGGGAAATAACAAATATATTGATAATGGGTAACCAATTAAAATACATGTTATCTGATCAAATTAAAAACACTTATATGGATATACTACTTCAGAATTTATTAACATGCTACGTTTCCATACACATATAGATATCGTTATCAAGCAAATAATGATATTTAACAAAAATGTGGTGCAATATATAGATAGCAATTCGAAACCATATAACAGATTAATCATTAATTACAAAGAATTAACACGGTGTAAGAATTGATAACAATTACAAAGGATTATAATAAGAAGTAATATTTATATATTGATAACAATTAGAAACGAGATGAATTTAGCAGATACAACTAACAATTACAAAGAATTAACACGGTGTAAGAATTGATAACAATTACAAATGATTATAATAAGAAGTAATATTTATATATTGATAACAATTAGAAACGAGATGAATTTAGCATATACAACTAACAATTATAAGAGATAAACGAGACGAGAGATAGCAATGTATAGATAACAATTGGAAACCATACAACATATTAATCATTAATTACACAGAATTAATAACCTGAAAGAAGTAATATATTGATAACAATCACAAAGGATTAACAAGATGTAATACATTGATACTAATTAGAAACGAGATGAATTTAGCAGATACAACTAATATTTATAAGAGATGAACAAGATGAGAGATAATAATGGGGTCTTCCCATATCGCCGACGGAACAGAATTTGGAAAGTCGACCGCGGCACTCTTTGATGGGTTAAAAACGGATTAAAAGCGTTAATGAGGCAGGTACCAGTCGTTATTAATATAGTTCACTTAAATTGGTTTTAATCAGAATTAAATCACTCACTAATTAATAAAATGAATATAGTTCACATTAATTGATTTTAATCAGAATTCAACTCACTCACTAATTAATAAAATTATGAATATAGTTCACTTAAATTACATGAACTTGAATTTTATTAGAATTCAACTCACTCATTAATTAATAAAATAATAGGCTACAGTTCAATATAAAGCTGGCAGTTGATCGAAATTTAGCTCATTGTGATTATTTCTCATAGATATAATTAAATACGCAAATCATTCCAAGACATTTCATATTCATTTTTTTCTACGATAGCCAATGCTTAGTTACAATCTAAGTTTATTCCTATACAGCAAAAGAGAAAGGATAACGACTTAGTGACATGGCAGTGCTGTGAAAATGAGAAATATAGACAATTGGCCGACTATATGGTTACGCAATGGTTAGGCGGCTAATTTACACAAATACTATGGTACCACAACCAAACCACGCGAAGAACCAACAACTCTTTAGAAAAATTAATAAAAAATTAATTGGAAAAGCTCATCCTAATATTAACAGGAAGATTGAAAATTCGAAACATAGATATGAACAAGGAAGAATGCATTTGTTAGGTGGGTAAGACGCTGGCTCGCTAGTCTGGAGATCGGGTGTTCGATCCATGCATTGGCCGAAAAAGTTCATCTCGATTTTCCGGCATAGTTCCGCTTGTCAGTGATGCAGGACGGAGGGCCTGACAAGGACAGCTATCTAGTCTTTTGGATGGTACGAAAAACTGAGGTTCCGCGTACACGTAAAAGATCCCTTGACAGTTGGCATTCGATATAAGAGTAGGCCATAGTGCCGCTGTCTGGGCAAAATTTCCCCCATAGCACACTATATGGCTTATGCCCGTCTTCATTAGCCCAGTTCGGAGCAGAACAACAGGACGTTAAACCCCATTTTATTTCATTTCCAATATATAGTAATTATACGTTTCTAAATGAGAGAGACATTGGAACCCATTCCCTGCGTATCGCCTTGATGTGAGTAAATAGTTCATAATATGTGAAAGCTGGAAGCTTTTCTTTCTCTATAGACTGATTAAATGTGTAGGAATTGTTTTGATACTATAAGTTGAAGGGACGGGGGTTTCACAATTACATCAGTTGAAGGGAAAACCCTTGGATTTTTTGGGGAGGGGGGGTGTCAAATTTATCTGATTTTCTTTTTGAATAAAGCATAACTTTGCAATGCAAACTCTACACACTCTTTGGGCTTCGCCATTTTGAGAACTTCTTTCTAAAGGCAGCAAGTTTTCTTGGTAAGTAAACCAATTGTATGGGTGTAGCGACATACCATCATACAGCCGAGGTTAGATGTAGGTAACCGGAGTCTGCCGAATGCAGCCAACGTACAACTATAATATTCAAAAAGCCCACAGAGTGCTTTGAATCCTTTGGTGATAAAGCAAATACTGACTTAGCGCTGTGGCCGATGTTAAAAACTGGTTACAAAAATACCATACAATACGGTAACATTTTTGTTTTAAATGAGACAGTTCTGCTAATTTCCATCAAAACAGAATTACATGTAATCTGACTAACGCATACTTGTTTCAAAATTTAAACAAGGTTTGTGTTTCAAATGAGTAAATCTAAAAGTAATTCCAGTCCCCAACGACGTTTCTGAGCAAATCACTGGATCTCTTTTATAGTCGGAATAAATACAACAAGCAATTGCCATGGAAAAGATGGACAGAAAACAAGCTAAAAAAAGGATTTTTTCGTACAACCATGGGACATAATCCGGGGAGTTATGGTCCGATATGTGTAAGTATCAAAATGAATCGAAATCTATGGGATATACAAATATGGTTTAAGTTTCATCAAAATCAGATAAAAATTATGACTCCTCGAGACTCCACAACATTGGTATGGCATACTTTTACACTATTCGCGTATACTGATCGGCCATTTTGTCGGTCGGTTTCGGTCTGATTTTCACGAAATTCGAACTCAACCTTCATTAGGTTGTAAATGGTTTTGTTTTAAATGGGTTAAAGTTGTGATCTCTAGAGGGTCCACAAGCTAAAAACTGGATAATTTGTACAATCAAGGGCCATAATCTTTGAAGTTACGATCCGATATGCATGAATATCGAAAATAACCGCTTTATTGGGGCATAAACATATATTTAAGTTTCATCAAAATCGGACAAAAATTGTAACCTCTAGCAGGTACACAACCTTGGTATTACATACGTTTACACTACGTTCGTTCAAGGAGCGGCCATTTTGTCATGAAGTTTCGGTACGATTTTTTT